CCATTTTGGCTCAAGGACTAGCTCGAGACTTCGTACAAGAGCGCAGACTCTTCCCTGCATCAACGCGGGGGCCACATGCTGCGTGAACCATTACGGGGCGACTGCTGCGAGGGGTTCGTTGTCCGCACGACCACGGAAGACCCAGTTTGGCGCTGCGCGTTCGCCGTCGGTCAAGCAGTGCGTGTTTGGTGGAGGCAGACGACAGGCAGCCAGTACCTCGCGTCGCCAACAAGCCGCAGACAGTTTTGGAGGTACTACTGGATTTCAATTCTTTTTTGGCTGGCTTCTTGGATCGGCTTGACGTGCGCAGGAGAGGTCACCTTTGGCATTGCGGAGCAGTGGTTCTTGCTGTCGCTAGTGTTGTTGATGCTGCTGTCCTTGGCCATGACGGCATTGCCAACGACATCCGTATGGTCGGACATCTTCATTACCACCACATTCAGTGTGATGTTTTGGATGCTTAACGTACACTCTCCCCTGAATGGTGTGATTACACAACTCCCCGTGTACATCCTTGTGTGCTGGGCCCTTGGATTGCACAGTTCCTGTGTACTGTATTTCGGCATTTCTGGAGGCATCTGCGTCCTCCATTGCGCTCCGAGCGTGGATCCGCTCATATTGGTTCAGGCGATGGTGGTTTTTGTCCCAGTCTTCTTCCTTGAGTGGCTGGGTACGGCCCATTTCTGGAAACTGCAGGATCTCCTCAACGTTTCGACAGACGGGCAGTTGATAATAAACAGGAGCACTGGCGTCGTTGTCACCGTGACCGAACAGGTGCAAGAACTATTAGGCGGAAGCACTGTTGGGACACAATTCAAGCACTTCGTTCATAGCAGTGATCGTGCCCAAATCGATCGTCTGTGTAGCACGAGTCGTGGTGAGCCCTGGGAGACTTTCTTGGCCACGCTTCACCCTATAGACTCTTCGAAAGGCATGCCTACGCATGAGTTCGACGCTTGCATCATACCTTACGAAATCACTGGGCCTCTTTTGCACTTTTGCGTTCAAGTCGTGGGAGAGGTGAGGTCATGCGATTTTGGCACTCGCTCCGAGCAGTCACCAATGGAGAACTCGAGCGCCGCTCCAGGCAGTACCACTCTATGCAACTCTCAGCAGACACCGATAAACACTTCGAGCGCCACTTTGGCCCAGATCGAACGCCACTCCAGGCAGGGAGACAGCGCGACACCAGTCGCGCATCAAGGGCATCAGGACTATGGTCAGCAGTCGATGTGTCGTGGGGATGAAGCAGCACCGCCTGCTGAGCACCAGGGCCTCGGCCTGTGTGTCGGGCAGGAGAACAGCGTGGCGTCGTCCGCGCTCCGGGAGCGCCAGGACGACGGCGGGACGTCCTCGAACGCCGAGGACGCGGCGTGGATGGCGCTGCACGAGTCGCCCGACGAGACGGACGCGAGCGCTGGCCGCCCGCCGAGGTCGCCCGCCGAGGGGGCCGCACCGCCGCGGGGGCCGCCGGGGGCCGCCGCCGCAGCGGCGCCAGGCCTCGGCGGGGAGCGCGCTCCGGCGGGCTGGCCTCCGGGAGCCGGCAGGGGGCCCCGGGCAGGGCGGCCGCGGGAGGCCGCGGAGCGCTCCCCCGCCGTCGGGGCGCGCGCGAGGAGGCCGAACCAGTTGCTGCCCGCCAGGGCCGCCGGGCCAGGGGGCGGGCGGGCGCCCCGCGCGCCGCCGGCGGGCGGCGTGGGCGCGAGCGAAGCGGGGCAGGTCGGGGTCCCCGCGGGCTCTGGTGCTCTGGGCGCACGGCGCTCGCAGCGCTCGCGGGCTCCGCTGTCGGGGGGCGCCGTCCCGGCCGCGGCCGCCACGGAGGAGGGCTCCTCGGCACGGCCTCGGCCTCGCCAGGTGCGCTGGGTGTCGATGTAGTCTGCTCCTCTCGGTTCTCATGTGAGGCGTCGCTGGCCGCTGGGGCCGCTGGTTCTCATCTGAGGGGATGTGCGCACGGACGCACGCGGCACGCTCCGCTGTGTCGCCCAGGCCGTGTTTCACCACATCATCGGCATCACCCTAACATACTTATACTATATGTGCTTCGCCCCCCCGGAGGCGACGCGCGCACCGAGAAATCTTATAGTATATGCGTCGTGGGGGGCGCTTTCTGGCCACACCGCTCGGGAAACGATATACTACAAGATGGGTATACTATATGTTCGGGTCGGACGCGCGCCTCCAAGGAGGACATATAGTACCAGTATGTCTTTGTGCTTCACCACATCAGCCCGTCAACCTTCCCTTGCCTGCGACCGACCTCCCGTGTGCACCATGTGATTCGCCTCTTGTGGCGAAATCAGAGCTATGGGGAAGGCCTCGCGACCGTTGCCGCCGACCCTGCCCCCCCTGGGACCCCCGCTGGCGACCCGCCGGGGACTTCCCGGGACACCGGGGGGGAGGTAACCCCGGCGACACCCCAACATACTTATGCTATATGTGCGTCGCCCTCCCAGGGGCGACGCGCGCACCGAGGAATCTTATAGCATATGCGTTGTGGCGGGCG